AGAATGGCTCAAACAAATGACCAAAATGTAGAGCCAGAAAATGTTTTGAGGAAGAAAAGCTAATGAAATTAACAAAAAATATTATTTAGGTACCTTCATAGGACTGACAGAAAGATCAAGGAAAGCAAGAAGAACAGAGGAAAACCCTCTAGAAGAATTCAGGAAAACCCTACAAGAACAAACAGCAAAATAAATGCAAATTCTGAAACAAAACAAAACCTGCAATTAGAATCCAGATGATTAATACTAAAACTCCAGAAATGGACAATACATTGATTAGAAGCAATGGAAGCCCGAATTAGGGAGCTTGAAGATAAATCCCTTAATACTAGTATGCTAGAACAATAAGAAAAAAGAATTAAAAAATCCAAAAAAAGCTTAAAAGCTATGTGGGATACCATATGAGTGACTAGAATTCCAGAAGAGGAAGGGATAATAAAAAGCACAGAGAAAAGTGTCAAAGAGTTGTGAGAAGAAATATCATTTTTCTTAATATTTTCCCAATACAGGAAAGATGAAAAGATAAGCATACAAGAAGCGGAACAAACCACAAACAGGACAGAACCTAAAAGAAAGTCACCAAGATATATCAGAATCAAACTTTTCAAAACTAAAGACAAGGAAAGAATCGGACAGCAGCTCAGGAAAAATGTAAAGTTACCTACAAATGAGGGCCAATAAGACTAAGCTCTGATTTCTCAGCAGAAACCATGCAAGTAAGAAGGTAATGGGACAACATATTCAAAAGTCTGAAAGAGAGTGTCAGACCTAGAAAAGGATCTTAGTCTCTTCCAGTATCTAGTGGTGTTCCTGCTTGTAGATACATCTATGCCTACCATCACATGGGGTCTCCCTTTCTTCTGTATGACTATATCTCCCCATGTCTATTTTCTGATTTTATGAAACATTACACAGAAGGGATTAGATTTGGTCAGGCTATTCCAATATGACTATGTTAACAAGACAAAAAGATATGTTAACAAACTCATTTCAAACAGGATTGTATTCACAGGTACAAAACAAAACATGAACTGATTGCTAGCCAGTCAATACCTACTCATAGGACAGAATAGAATTACCCCATATCTTTATGAATGCTGCATCTTTTTCCTACAAAGCAACGGACTGGTGGGTTTGAACAGGTGACCTTTCAGTTAGTTTTTCTTGGTCCCATAATTTAGTCTCCTATTATGCAACACTTTTGCATTTTCACCAACTTATATTTCATATTTGATCATTTACTGTTCTTTTTTT